AAGACAAAGATATGATGAACAGTAAGAGAAGGCCCATTCAAATTTTCATGTGTATGTCAAAGTGTTCCATGCTGCCAAATACCTGAATGATTTAATTTCTTTCTTTTTTTTAAAGATTTGATTGGGGAATTGGGGGAGGGGAACAGCGCTGGGGAATCGGGGGAAAGGGAACAGACAAGTTGCTGTCCTTTTTGTTCTTCAGTCTAGTTGTGGGGGACGTTGCTTCACTGGCCCATGTTGGTATCATCATTGTGCTCTTCCCGGGTGAGGCAGATCAGTCGCCGGCCTCTGGACAGCCGCTCACGACGGCTCTTGGCAGCTCACACCGGCTCTTGGAAGCGCACACCGGCTGCCGGCCACTCACGCTGGCTGCCGGCCACACACAGTAGCTTATGGCAGCCCAGTGCAGCAGGGGCTGCAACCTATGCCGTTACAGGTGACTCACGGCAGCCCAGCTCCGGTTGAGCAGTTGTTCATCATCTTAGCTGTAGAGGGCAGTGTCACTGGCCCTCATGTGGGATCCGAACCAGGGCCCTGCTGCTGGCGTTCCAAGCCAGCTCCTAACCAATGCGCCACTCAGCCGGCTCTGAATGATTTAATTTCTAAATAAAAGTGCTCTATGGAGAGAAACTTGAAAATTACATGTGGTTAAATCTACTCATATACATGGTAAGTTTTTATAACCCCGCAATTTTGCACCTAAGTGTGCACCCAATAAAATTGAGTGCCTAGGTCCACCAAAAAACTTGTATAGGGCCGGCCATGTGATGTGTTGGTTAAGAGCTGGCTTGGGACGCCAGAGGGCCCTGGTTCGGGTCCCACATATGAGGGCCAGTGACACTGCCCTCTACAGCTAAGATGCTGAACAACAGCTCAACCTGGAGCTGGGCTGCAGTGAGTCGCGGGCGACGGCGTAGGCTGCAGTCCCTGTGGCAGTGGGTTGCCATGGGCTACTGTGTGTAGCCAGCAGCCAGCGTGAGCGGCCCTCAAGCCGCAGTGAGTGGCCGTCCAGAAGCCGGCGACTGATCTGCCTCGCCCGGGAAGAGCGCAATGATGGTGCCAACTTGGGCCAGTGAAGCAACGTCCTCCACAACTAGACTGAAGAACAAAAAGGACAGCAACTTGTCTGTTTCCCTTCCCCCAATTCCCCAATAAAAATCTTAAAAAAAAAAACCACTTGTATAATACCGTACATAGTAGCTTTCTCTATAATAGCTAAAAACTAGAAACCACTCAGAGCCCATCAACAGTAGAATAGATACATTTTGGTATATTCATATAATGGAATACTGTAAAACAATGAAAATAATGAGCTACTATTTCATGCAACAACATGAATGACTCTCAGACATACTGTTGAGAAAAATAAGTCAGACAAAAGAATACATACTATTGGGTTGTCGGAAAAGTCATGGTGCATTTTTGCAACAAAAAACAGAAAAAATACGTCGTGACTTTTTTGACAACCGATATGTGGGGCAGCCAGTTAGCTCAGGTGGTTAGAGTGCCGGTTCAATTCCCACATGGGCAAGTGAGCTGCGCCCTCCACAACTAGATTGAAGACAACTTGACTTGGAGCTGATGGGTCCTGGAGAAATACACTGTTCCCCAATAAAGTTTTTTAAAAATAAAAAAAATTATACAGTGTAATTTATGTGAAATTGAAAAAGAGGCAAAGTTAATCTATACTGATAGAGGTCAAATGGTAGTTACTTTTAGGGATGTAGTATTAGGGAAAGGACAAAAAGGAGCTTTCTGGGATGCTGCAAATGTACCTGATCTTGACGCTGGAAATGGTGGTCATACAGCATATAAATGTGTAAAAATTCACTGAGCAGTTTAAGATTAGTGTACTTTATATATGTTGCATATCAATAAAAAAGTGAAAAAATTATTTGTAGCATTATGGAATATTTGAGCTATTATCAAGAAATGTTTGCGCAGTTTGAGATCAAGTGGCAACAACTGGTGAATACCGTGTTTGAAGCAACCAGCAGCTGAGCAGGTGTGGTCAATTTTTCAAGCAGAACTATAGTCCACTGTGGCGTAGTCTTACTCTCTGTCCCCTAAGCCTTTGTCCATTTGGGTATCACACAGGTCCTGCACTAATATTCATCACAAGCCACTATCCACAGTCATGATGTCATTATTTTTCTTGTCACACTCCAAGAATATCCAGGTTGGGTGGATGACAAGTGTTCAGGTTCACATCTTTCTTTTTAATATGCTTTCTCCTTTTTCTTTAAAATAAAATTTTATCCTGCACCTCATTGTATGTATACTGCCACATACTGTGTTTTACTCAAAACTAACACATGCTGTACCTAAATGACGGGGTAAGAATTTTCAAGAATAACTTTGACTATGAGACATAATTTTCACCTCGCCTCTCCCAATTCTCTATTCCCCCAAAATGTGAAGCTTGTAGCACAGCGCCTGACACACAGAAAGTGCCAGTTCAGCCCCTTCAGCCTGGACTCCCATCTCCCACAACCCACATGTGCTGTATCACCAAAGTAGCCAATGACCAAAAAAATTTTGTAAGTAATCAAACCTGAATTTTCTGCTGCTTGACCCTCTTCTCACTCTACACACTATCTCCAAGTCCCTTCATTGATTCTCATAGCTCAACTCCTGAAGAAAGGCTGACTCACCTCCCAAATTTATATTTCTAGCCCAGGCCTCTCACTCCCCCTCCAGACCTGCCATTTTCAAGTGTGTTCTGGATGGTTCCATGTAGTTGTTGCTCAGGCACCTCAAAAACATGTCCTTGGGCCGGCCGAGAGGTGTGTTGGTTAAGAACTGGCTTGGGACGCCAGAGGGCCCCAGTTCGGATCCCACATATGAGGGCCAGTGACACTGCCCTCCACAGCTAAGATGCTGA